GGACTTTTGGAATCTTTGACTGTGGACTCTTGGACTCTGGACTCTTGGAATCTTGGACTCTGGTCTCTTGGACTCTGGAGTGTGGACCCTTTGACTGTGGACTCCTGGTCTCTGGAGTCTGGACCCTTTGACTGTAGACTCCTGGTCTCTGGAGTCTGGACTCTGGTTTCTTGGACTCTTGGACTTTTGGAATCTTTGACTGTGGACTCTGGAGTCTGGACTCTGGACTCTTGGAATCTTTGACTCTGGTCTCTTGGAATCTTGGACTCTGGACTCTTGGAATCTTGGACTCTGGACTCTTGGAATCTTGGAATCTTGGACTCTGGTCTCTTGGAATCTTGAACTCTGGTTTCTTGGACTCTGGAGTCTGGACTCTTTGACTGTGGACTCCTGGTCTCTGGAGTCTGGACTCTTGGACTGTGGACTCTTGGATTCTGGAGTCTGGACTCCAGCAGGTTTATCGAAGTGATCCAGTAAAAAGAAACCCAGTTCAAATGAAACCTCATTGTTTTCCAGCTGAACCGGAGGAATACTTGGTGTTGCTGGCAGACAGGAAGTTGTTGGAGCTGCCGCTCGAATCCTTGTCGGTCCTGCAGGGTCAAGGCCCGGTTCCTGTGACCCGAGACTTCTCTTTGCAGATTTTCTACAACCGTCTGAACAGAGAAGCACAGAAAGGTACAAAACATCTGACATCATCAGGTTTTATTATCTGCTACAACTATTCGAAGCCATTTTACATAAATTATTATTTTATATTTAAAGTGAGTTCATAAAACATTTACATATTTGAGATCAAAGAGCTGTAGATGTTTACTCTGCAGTACATCAAACAGGAAAATGTGTTTATAAACGAGGTTATTTCACTTCCTGTTGATCATCAGGCGAACGTCAACACGGTCTGATTCACCTGAGCAGGTGTCTGTTTACTCAGAACCTGGACCCCAGGTGTGATTCACCTGAGCAGGTGTTCTTAAATATGTGAATAACACAAATCAGAACAATTACTGGACCAGTCGTTTGGTGAGCAGCACCGGTCCGTAACACGAGTTTTTACGTTTCCACCCCGATCCAGACAGGTGACATAAAACCCTTGAAGTGACCTCCATCTGTTGCATCAACTTGTTTTCTTTTTAATTATCAAAATATATTATGTCATAATAATATTAAATTATATTTCTTTGTAATTATCAAAATGTTTATTAGTAAGAAGCTCTGTGTTGGGGAGCCGTATAAAGAAGTTCCTGCGACCTGAGTCAGATGTGACCAGAAGTTCTAACCTTTAAGAAACGCAGTTTGACAGATGTTCCCACAACTGGTTCGTTCAGGATTCATTTGGCCTTTCAGAGTCTTGATGTGTCACTTTAGTTACGAAGCACTTTAAAGAACAAAACGTACCCTGAAGACACATCCGAGATAAAAACATTCAAACCAACTGAAGCAGGAACGATGATAACAAAGTCTTGGTGAGGTGAAAGCTTTCACAGCGAGGTCGTGGTGCTCCACCATCATGGAAACGGATCCACAGGCACTGGCGCTGCCGGGTCATCACAGTCCGAAGCAGAACTTTCCACACGGGCCTCGATCTATGACCCTGACGAGGTCGTGGAGCGGTGCCTTGGTGTGTTATTACACCACTGAAGTTCTTCCTGTCACAGGTGGAACCGGAGCAGCTGCTAAAACATAATCCACATGTCGGTCCGATCTGACCCATAAAAGTTTGGTTTATTGAAACTGTAAGGACAGCTTTAATGGTTTACTGTACAAGCTGCTGTACGGGTGCCCTGAAGGTCCAAACTTATTTATTTACTTTACATTTAAATACTTGAACCAGCCGGTCAAAGCAGATGGTCTCTTGTCCTGATCCTGGTTCTGCTGGAGGTTTCTTCCTGTTAAAGGGAGTTTTTCTTTCCACTGTCTCCACTGTGCTTGCTCAGGATGGGAGACTGCAACGAAGCCAAGATTCATCTTGTCTGCTGGATTCCTTAGATAGAGAACTTTACTAACTGTCTTTTATGTGAATGTTCCTGTAAAGTCCTGAGACAACTTGGTTGTGATTTGGTGCTTTATAAATAAACTGAAGTGAATTGAATTACATGAAGTCTGAACAAATAAAACAATAAAAACTTCTCTTTCCTTCAGCTGCTCTTCAGACCAACGTGTGGGACTTTTCCACCCGCCCTCCTTTATTCAGACAGAACACGTCGTTCCGTTAAAGATAAACGTGACGTTCCCTCGCTCAGCCGCTGAGATGCTGACCAGGTGATTTTATTTCCTCGTCAGACGTGCGTTCATGCCACTTCCTGTTTGTTGCAGCTGAAAGTGACAACACGAAGGAGACCAAAGGTGGAAAGGCGGCAAAGGGGAGACGAGATCAAAGTCAAAGCATGAAAGCGGTGAGTTGTATAAATTAATGTGGACCTGCCACACGCTGATATTACCTTTTCCTTCTCGCTGCATCAGCAGTTTTTTCCTCCCGCCGCACTTTAAGCTGCAATATTTAATGAGAGGAAGCTCGTCCTGCAGCTTCTAAACATCTGACACATCTGTCCTTTCATTGGTGCCGTTTCATCCTTAACCACCACTTTCACATCCAGTCATATATATCATAATAATGATAATTAATATTAACATTATTATGATATTTACCTAAATAGGGCTCACGTCCCTCAGTACTTCCTGTTTAAATAGTTCATGCTTCATGTCTTCGTTAGTTTCAAGCAGCTTTAATTAAATCCAACAATTTTCAGTCAGGTCATCTGGACAGTTTCTTTTTTTGTGCTGAAATGTTTGATCACCTGACTGAAAATTGTTGGATTGTATACCTGGATTATTGAGCGTGGACTTTTTTGGCTTTGAACCCGTTTGACATGACTGTCGACGAGGAAGAGGGCCGGCACCGGAGGAGGGGGCGTGCCAAAGACACCATATAGCACCAACATAACTGGTTTGTTCCACTTTAGAGTAAGCTGTTGGGGGAAGAATCAGTTTTGTGTTTCCTTGACTGATGAAGTCTTCTGGATGGAAGGCGAAACGTTTCAGCAAAAAAAGAAACTGTCCAGATGACCTGACTGAAAATTGTTGGAGCTTTAATTAAAGTTTATTTTCACAGGTTCCTGCCAATCCTGCAGTGCCTTCTTCTACGTTCTTTACCGTAGACTCACGAGGTTTCAGATGTATCCTTTATAAAATGTTGTTTTCATCAATAAATGGTTATTAACGCTTTAATAACAGTTTGAAACTCTGACGACAACAAAACGAAGAGCAAGAAGAGAAGCACAGACAAAACAGAAATATTGATCTTTTGTGTTTCAGATAGTTTACATTTTCTTAGTTTTTGCAGCTGATGAACAGAAATAAGTAAAGAAGGTTCTGTTGTACCTTGTTAAAACGAGTTCAGAGGCTCTTTTGATTTTGGAGCTTTGTGTTTTCTGTGAACTCGCTGCAGGTTAGACATTTATTATGTGTTTTTAGTTGCTGGGTTCGTTTTACCTGATGTGGTAAAACGACCGGCGTCTTCTTTGATGCCAAACAAGAAAAATGCCCAGAATTCTACTTATCATCTAACCGTGAGAGGGTTTAAATATAACTTCTGGCCCCGCCCACTTCACTGACGATGTAACGAGGCGTCTCGTTAGGGCTCAAGTCATTTTGAAAATGTTTGAAACAGCAGCAGAAAGGTAAGAACAGATGAAATTAACAAAATCAACACCTGCAGGATATTGACTGAAAATTAGAGTTTTTATTTTTATTTTTTATATTTATGTCAAAAATGAGGGGCGGGGCTTAAAGTCTGTGCTGGAGTGAGCCACGAGGCAGCACTGTCGTATGTGCCTTCAGCTTCCTGTGCGTGGTCCTGTCTCCAGTTGTGATGGTTAGGCTTGACGGTCGACCTCATTTTCATTTATCAGCTTTATCGTTTCTTCATGTCTCTCTTTCTACTGAAGACACAGGATTACAAAAGACTCAACTCCGGTTCTTCACTGACCCCTCCCGTTCTCTTTCCTTTAAAATCCGTTTTAACGATCCAAAATCGCGTTTTTGGATCGTTAAAAGCAGCTAAGCTGAGAAGCTAAGCTACAAGCTAAGCTAACAGATCAACTTCGGGGAAAAAACCTCCATCTTGTTGAAGCTCCAAAATTCACGGTTGAAACTCGTGCCTTCGTGTAAAAAGTTGTTTTTCTCTGCAAAAAGAAGCTGAGAACTTGTTTACTGATTTTTTTTATTAAAAGCTTTCTGTGAAAAATGCTAAAGAGCTCAAACCGCACCGAGTGTCCACCATTTTGAGAACCGGAAAAAGGAAGGGGAGACAGCCCATGTCACGTCAAGGGGCCTCCCTCCCATTTTCTTAAAGAGACACGCTGCTCGCTCCCTCACTATCCATTCTTCGGTTCAGACAGTCTTATACTGCCATCCAGTGGTCAAAAGAAGGTACTACACACAAAACTTAACCAACATTTCTTATATTTGACAATAATTACTAATTATTGTCAAATTTCAAACAATATTATTGTTTATCGCAATAATTTCTGAGACAGTTGATCGCCCAGCAACATTTGTTATTGCAACAGGCCTAGTGATGGTGTTTATGATCATGGAGGAGGTCCTGATGGTGCAGGTTGTTCAGGTTATTGTTCATCAAAGCAGCGACTGAAGTTTGACCCTAACTCTTTAAAGTTATCGTTGATCCTCACATCGAAGGACGCCTCGGTGAGTAAACTGCTGATTCCAGCAACGCTTCTCCTCTTCTTCCTGTGTGTGATCTACATGAATACTCACCTGTACCAGGTGACAGCAGACCTGCATCAGCTTTTATTTTACACTTGGTATGGGTGCGGTGTTCTTCCTGGAGCGTGCTGAGAACGTTGAAGCTCGAGTTCTGCTTTGATTAATGTCGCCTCCTTTACCTCCTCCGAACTTCCAGCCTGTCAGGGTTGAAACTTTTAGATACAAACTCTGTGCTGTGGTTCTTTGTTGGCCCAGGAGGAACCGGTCTGAGTCGGATAATGAAGGAGGTTCTGCAGAGCCAGAATCTGAGCCACCTATGGGAGGGCGGCAAGGCCAGGTCTTCTACCACATATGTTTGTTTCTGCACAATGCTTTGCCTCCACGTGTTCCTCACCAACAGGTTCTGATGTTTGCAGTGGTTCTGACCCGGAGCAGGTTCTGCTCAGATGCAGCATCTTCGTTTTCCTGGGGAGGGACTCCTTCTTGGCGAGCGTTCCTCCTGCTAAACTGGCAGTCTTCAACCTGTCCGGTACGGTTCTGTTCAAACTAACATTTATCTTCTTGGGTGGAGTGGAGAAGTTCTCAGACATCTGGGCGGCCATCTTGAAACAGGACGGCTCCACAGAGGATCGTCTGAACATCTGTCCTGTGGTCCATGAGATCTGAAACCATCCCCCCCCTCGCGGCGGCTCTCGTCTCCAGAGTGATTGACATCTTGTCAGATCTGACCTGGGGTCAGACGTGTGCTGCTAACTATAGCACGGCTGGCACCACGAACCCAGTCCCAGCTGGTTCTGGTTCCCTGAATGTTTCTGTCAGACGTCATTCAGAGATGACCAGTGAATATTTCTGAGGAATCCAGCAGACACA